ATGTCACGTGGCCATATCTGATTTCGAGAGAAGAGTGGCTAACAAAGTACATGGAGCTAAACAGCAGAGATTAGTTGTATTATGGCATCCATTAAAGGTATTCCAGAGGTCTGTTCTCATTTGAGGGTCTTGGATGCCCTAAATGAGCACTTTATCACACAGGTAAGTAGCATCATTTGATTTTGGGCAACTTTGGGTGAATAAAATTAGGACATGGTTAGACACTAATAGCTGACTGCTCCGATCTGAGTCAAACTTTCTACAAATTAGAGTTGACTTGTGAGCAATTGCTTCAAAAGATGATAGATTCCTACATAAAAAGTTAAAGTTGTTGTGGGGCACAGTGGTTCACACCTGTAATCCTAGAGGCTTGGGAGGCTGAGGCAGGAGGCTTTCTAATTCAAAGTCAGCCTCAGCAAAAGCAAGGTGCTAAACAACTCATTGAGACCCTGTCTCTAAATAAAATACAAAATAGGGCTGGGGATGTGCCTCAGTGGTTGAGTGATCCTGAGTTCAAACCCAAGTACCTCTCCAACCCCCCAAAAAAGTTGTCCATTATAATGACTATTGTGAAGATAGTTCATAGATTTTGCTGAAGTGCTATTTTGTGTAGTTTTAACACTCATCTGCTCCACTGAATCTGTAAAATAGATATATATAGCATATATATAGCATAAATGAGCAGGTCAAAAGGTTTGGAATGAGTTTTTCCTTCCTTGATAAATTACCCACAGGTGAGATTTACCAAATGACTGGCAAACCTTGTTTTATGACTTTTCCTGGCTCAGCTACCCAGGAAGAAATGTCTGTCCAGTGTAAATGTACTTACTATTTCTCCTGTGAATGCCTCACTTTCTACTCTACCAACCCATGTCAGGCACCTTGGAATCCCAACTCAAAACTCAAATCTGCAAGTCTTCCTCAGCTATTCCACTCAAGTCTGCAGATGAGAAATGTGATTGATGAGTACTTTATTTTTATTCAAGACTTTCTTGGACCATCAGTATTTGATTATTTTTAAAAATACAACAAAAAATTGTATGAGCTTAAGATCTTTTATGGAAAAATTTAAATATTTGGAAATAGAATAGTATAATGGACCTCCAAATACTGATGGTTACTTTAAATAGAATTATTATTCAATTTTACAGCCCTACAATGAGGATATTGTCTTTATTTCACACATTATGTGGAAGAGCAGTGACTTGCCCCAGGTACTATAGGAAGCAAATGGCAGAAAGGAATTCAGGTCCAGGAATGTTTGGCTTCCTGTTATTCTGGCTACCCCTACATTTGGTATGCAAATCACCTGACATCCTTAGTATGAAAGTTTCTGTTTCTTAAGTGTTTTTGCGCACAAATGTCATTTTATTTATTTATTTTTTTAATATTTATTTTTTAGAAGCAGTTGAACACAATATCTTATTTTACTTATTTATATGTGGTGCTGAGGATCAAACCCAGGTCCTCGAACGTGCTAGAGTGCTAGACAAGCGCTATACCGCTGTTTACTGGTGAGGAGTCCTTGCTTCCCCAAATGCTGAAGTATAACACCAGAGAAGCACGCAGAGGCAAGTGTAGAGTGGAAAGTGGAAGGCTTTGTTAAAGGATAGCAGAAAAGATTTCCTCCTGGAGGAAGAAGGAGACCCTCGAAAGGTGGAATCTGAGGGCTGGGGATATAGCTCAGTTGGTAGAGTGTTTGCCATGCATGTGCAAGGCCCTGGGTTCAATCACCAGCACCAAAAAAAAAAAAAAAAAAAAAAAAAAAAAAAAGTGGAATCTGTAGAAGGGGGAGGTCTTCCCTTTGTTATATCTTAGGTTTTCTTTTAGTCCTCCCACGTGGGAATGCCAAAAGGTGGGAGAGAAGTGGACTGATGGGGCCGGGGGAGGGTGGTTTGATTAGTACCTCCCTGTTTGCTGGGAGCTACTTCATTAACAGTTCTTTAGGATGGGTTCTGGACCTTGGGGACATTAATTTTTCAATTTTCCCGGCTGCTGTTCTGGTTTCCTGGACTCCATTCTCCATAATGGTTTCCATTTTCTTTATCTTACTCAATGTTAGACCCAATTTACCTAACTACACTAACTACCTATTTTTAAATCTGGCTTCACTTGTCCCCATGCCAATTCAATAACAAGGACATGGTTTTGAGAAAAAGGAAAAAGAAGTTTTATTGCTTTGCTAGCAAAGGAGAAACACAGGGGACTCCTGTTCTAGAGGCTGTGATTCTGCTCATCAGGGAAAACTGAGGACTTTTAAAGGAGCTATTCAAAGGGTACTTTCCAGGTGTGCTCTGGTAGGGGGTCCTAGGGAGCCCTAATGGCGTGTTAGAATTCACTTGTTAATTTGGGAGACATTCTCTTCCCAGATCCTCTGGCAGACATCTGCTTCCTGTGGAGCACAGGTAACTCAAGGTAATCTTGTTCCCCGCCCCTAGGTTAGGGAGAGGGAGAGGAAAAGCATTTGTCTTTTAAAACTAAGCCTCAGGGCATATATTCAGAGTTTATATTCCAAAGATGAAGTGGACCATTGTTACAACCTGAAATAGTTATGATGTATTTCTTGGGGTGCTATGATGTAGTCTTACAATATACTAAAAGAGTAAAAAGCCTTGCTTAGAGAAAACTTTTTTTGGTAGGTTACTTAATACACCCCCAAATTTGTATACATATTTTACTATTTCCTGTGTTGATATTTTCCTTTTTATATAAACAATACAAAGCATAATCAGTTCTGGTTTCTAATATTTTATAGGAATGATTAAAATGTTTAGAATCATGTTATGAAACCCTGCTTCCCAGAAAGTTCTACTTTCCCAACAGGGGACTTGCACCTGAGTCTTGGTTTCCAAAGTTTTTATTGGCGCTCAGCATGTAGGCAATAGACCATATGAATGAATGGTTTGATTGTTTTGTGTTTGACTTCCCTCTTGTGCTTTCACTCAGAAAAGTTGTTGCTCCTTTCATTCCCAGGTTAAGAACAGCACCTGGCAGCGCTCTGCGCTTGTGGCAAAGCTCAATGCTCCCTTGACTCCTCAGATAGCCTTCACTGCCAGGGAAGACAAGCCATCTCCTTACCCAATCACTACTGCTTAATAAAGTGGTTTTTCCCTCATTATCTCCACTAATTCTAGACCCTCTCCTTTCTGACATCTATAAATTTATAGGAGGAAACTGAGGAAGTTAATCACTCTGCTAAGTGGATTTTATATGTGGTGACTGTTAGGACAAATGATGCACATACTTGATGGAGACGGCAAGCAAACCTTGGATCAGCAAGCTTTTCTTTATACAGAGTCAGTTGAATAAAGAGTCAGTTGGTGGAAACCAGCACTGCGCACTCTGGGGCAGAAAATGGGGTAGGGCTGAAGCAAGGGTCTGGGTTATACAGGTTTCATTTAGGGTGGTCCAGGAAGGCAATTCCTGGGGTTCATTGTATTGGGGTCAGATGCCAATCAAGTGCAAGTTCCTTTTGTGTTCCTCAGCTTTGGCTGCCGCCTGGTATTTTAAATGACAGAAGCTTAGGAAAAATTACTAGTGTGCCTGGCCACACGGCTTATACATCAAAGGAGTTAGACTTATTTTCCATATCCTTCAGTAACTGATACAGCAGACATCTTTTTTTGGTGATGGTGATGGTGGTGGGGTACTGGCAATTGATCACAGGGCTTCACACATGCTAGGTAAGTGCGCTACCATTGAGGTCCGGTCTATTTATTTATTTTTGGTACCCAGGGGATTGCACTCAGGAGCACTCAACCACTCAGTCACATCCCCAGCCCTATTTTGTATTTATTTAGAGACCGGTCTCACTGAGTTGCTTAGTGCTTCACCTTTGCTGAAGCTGGCTTTGAACTGGCAATCTTCATGCTCAACCTCCTGATCCACTGACATTACAGACATGTACCCACTCCCCCGCAGGTTTATTTATTTTGAGACAAGGGTCTATTGCTAGGTTGCCCAATCTGGCTTCGAACTCGCCATCCTCCTGCCTCAGCCTTAGTAGCTGAGATTACTAGTGTGCCTGGCCATCAAAGTGTTACCGCTGTTGGCCGGTGACCAGTCCTTGCTTCCCCAATGTTGAAGAATAACACCAGAGAAGCAAGCAGAGGCAAGGTCAGAGTAGAAATTAAAAGTTTATTAAAGGACAGCAGAAAAGACTTCTTCTGGAGGAAGAAGGGGACCCAAGAGGTGGAATCTGTGGAAGTGTGGTTGTCTCCCCTTTTTATAGTTCTTTCAGTGATGGAATGAATGTAGGTTGGAAGGCCCGAGGGGTGGGACACCGGTGGGCCAAAGAAGTAATCTGGGCAGGAAGGACTTCATTATCACTTCTTTAGGATGGGCTATCTCCAAAACTGTTGGGGGCTGTTTCCTGGGTTCCTTTGGGCCTAGGGGCTTTTCCGGGACTTCATTAACATTCCATGAGTTGTCCTGCATTTCCCGGAATCATTCTCAGCATGGCCTCCATTTTAGATCTCACTCGATATTAGACCCAATTTACCTAACTACACTGACTACCTAACTTTAAATCTGGCTTCAAAAGGGGTTTGTAATCAACTACTGCTTGTCCCATCACTTCTTGCTTGATGGTAGAATGAAGAATATGACAATTCTAAAGAGGCACAGATGTAAAAACTTAAAATATGATGAGACTTTATCACATGACCCTAAGTCTGAGGTTCCCAACAACTAGTATATGAATATTACCATTTTGTTTGCAGATGGAGATTTCCCCCTACCCATCCGTTAAGAAACCAGTACAGACCAAGTCCCTTAACATGGTGTGGGAAGCCTACAGCACAATGAGGCATTAACAAACCCTTTTCACAAACAGCCATTAAAACAGCTGTCTCTGGAACGACACTGTTGGGTTCAAATCCTGATAATCATTTATTAATCCTAAATTGTAGAAATGAGGTGGGTGGATGTTCTGAAATCACAGAACTGGGATGAGAATCAATCCAAAAGAATCAATCCCTTCTAGTTGGACACTCCTATCCAGCGACCGCTCACAGGAAAACCCCAGCTCAGACCGCTGGACTGGCCTGGTCCACATCGCGCAAGCGCAGCCTGGCCTCTTGGGATCCCTCCCTAAGCTCGCGTGTGCTAGTCGTCGGCGGGAGACTGGGTCTCGCGATGCGTGTGTGCGTGCGTGTGCGTGCGCGGTCCTCGCGAGCTCGCGCACGCCGCCTCTCGCAGTACGGGGCTGTGGCGGCCTCTTCCTCCTGGGTCCGGCGGCGCTCGGTGCGCGGTGCCGGCGGCGGGAGCTGGGCGCCGCTTTTGCCTCGCCGCTGCCGCCACCAACATCAGTGCCTGTCCCTCTGAATCCCTCCCTGCCCCGTGCAGAGTCGGCGGCTGGGGAGAAAGCGACGCCAGTGTGAGGTTCTCAGCCGATGGGCAGCCCCTGGACTCGCTGAGGGGCCGGGCTTCGAGTGGCCGAGGTAGGTGGGCGCGCGGCTTCTCCAGCTGGGGGAGCGGCGGCGGGGCTGCGGCGCCAGCGGGGAACGCGAGGACCGCGCCTCGTAGCTAGTGAGGGGAGCGCTCCGACCCGCGCCTGCCAGGGGCTCTGGCCTGACCCAGAGAGAGCGCAGGACGCGGACGTAGCCTGCCTTCCCGGTGTGGAGCCATCACGGGAGAAATTCCTGCGGCGGGGCGGGGGAGGGCTCACCCTTTCTTTTCTTTGAGAGGTCAAAAACCGCAGTCCTCCCTCCGCCTTTTTAAATAAGAGCCTGTTGGCTTCGAGATTGGCATCTAGACGAAGTGGCCTGGGGACTTCGACGCTTGCAGAACTCAAGAGTGGACAGACAGCAGGTTACGAATTTTGATGTTGGGAGGGTACACAGCCTTCTCTTTACTGTGGGCGCCTATCTTCTGCAAACTTGTTATTGCAAATACATTTCAATAATCGCTTTTGGACACACAACTGGTGATACATTTTCGAATGCCTTATGGATTCTGGCACTGGGGAAACTGCGCCGTAGGGCAAAGGGAGTGGAAAGAAGACAAAGGAGGCCGTTATTTATGTTCTGTCCTGGTATCAAAACTTTCCATGGTAGAGCAGGGTATGTAGCAACTGGCTTTTGTTGGATGGACTTTCAGAGTGATTGAGATGGGGCACAAGTGAACACTTTATTTAGATTTATAAAATCATATGTGGTGATATGTAATTATTAGCCAAATGTTCTTAAGTGTATATGTCTGAGAATTGTGATGTTATTTTTGGAGTAGAGCAGAACTTGGGTTTCTTGAAAGGAAAGGTTTCTTCATCTTTAGAAAGCCCATAAAAGCCTTTGAAATTACTAAAAATAGTTACAGTTCTTTATGTTGGCAGTAATAACTGCCACGTTCAAGATAAGGGAAAAGAATTCTTTTACAAAAAAACAGCTCACTGAAAAGAGTTGGAGAGTTAAAAATACACAGTAAAAATCGTCAGGAACATCAAGTTTTAGTTTATTCTTTAAAAATTCGAATTTAGTCATGGTCAAAATATATTGAAGCTCTTAGTTGACCCCCCTACCTTCAGTGAATCATTTTAAAAGATATTCTTTAACCTTTAGAAGTCAACACAGTGGCTTCCATTCACTCCACACTTTTTAAAAATGTAGTAGTCAATCTCAACTTTCTTCAGAATTGTGCATGCATACTTTCAAAGAAAGAATCAAGAATAGTTAGCTGGCAGTCCCTGGAGTGGAAGAAGGGAGAGCAATATGAAATGCAAGGTTAATGCTTATGTATTATGCAGATGCTGCATACAGGCATATATACCTGCATATAAATACATATGATGTTCTGCACACAAGGATCTGATAGTGCTGATTCATGTCTTAATAAGGTTGAAGTCTGAAAATTGAATTGATTTTAGCTAATTCCTTTTTCAGTTAACTATTTACAGGAATAATTGTCATTAAGTTTCTTGTTTAGTTCCTTAGTTATTGGATAAGCAGAATATAATACTTTTTTTTTAAAAAGAGAGAGGGGGAGAGAGAGAGACAGAGAGAATTTTAATATTTATTTTTTAGTTATTGGTGGACACAACATCTTTGTTTGTATGTGGTGCTGAGGATCGAACCCGGGCTGCACACATGCCAGGCGAGCGCACTACTGCTTGATCCACATCCCCAGCCCGATACTTATTTTTTGACCAGTAGTAGGGAAGGAAAAACAGAAAATTCACACTTCAGAAGTATTCTTTATTCAGTGTGTCATTGTTACCCATTGGAAAATACAGCTGTACTCCTGTCCATTTTGTGTTCTAGTACTTAGAATACTGTCTTGCATGGAGTTGTCCCTCTATAAATGTGATGTATGTCAAAAGCAAAATAACACGATACAAACTGAAGGCATAAATTCCTGGAGAAGATTAAAGGAATCAGAAATGTGTGCTTTTTTTGTTTTTTAATTGTACATCTGAGTTTTTATTTTATTTTTTTCTCAGTGTAATTTGGTATCTGAGTAAAGGATATGTGGCATCATTTTTCTTCTAAAAGCCTAACATAATATAAGCTGAGACTATATATCCTGAGTGCTGGCAGATTGTGAATGTTGTCATATATTAAGATAAAATGAGGTAAAGGAAGTAAGGTCCAGAGGGAAAGTTTGTAACAGGATGATTTCTGGTTTTGGAGGGAATGGTAATTGTTTTCATTTCCTTTATTTATTTTTTTACAGAGCCAGAGATCAAACCCAGGGCCTCACCCATGCTGTGCAAGCACTCTACCATTGAACTATACCCTAAGCCCAATTTTCAAATAATAAAGTTGAAAAGGGGTTTACTTTTCCTCTGATAGTCCTTTCACAGGTCTGTGGGTTTCTCCTTGTATTTACATATGCTCTCTAGTCTAACTTTATGGGCAAAAAACGGTTATTTTGATTCCTATTTAATTCTTGTATCTATTTCTCAATTAGTGTATAAGTTGAGGAATGTGTGTAGTCCTTTTTTTCCCATTTGGAAGGGAAATCTATCTGTTTTTATATGTTACCAACAGAAAGGTTTGTGGATATTTGTCCTGGAAGTGGCTAAAGAGGTGAATTAAAAAAATAGGAATATTTTAAGTTGAGTCTTATGATTTCATTGTAGTATAGCTGAGTGATTCTTGTGGTGGGGAATGATTTTGCCCTCCAGGGAACA